GTAGCATTGGTAGTACAACGTTGAACAGAAGTGGCAAGAAAAAACATCCTTGTCTTGCTCCTGACCTTAAGAAAAAAGTATTTAGTATGATGTTATCTGTTGATTTTTCACAGAAGCCCTTTGGGGTTTAGGATTTAGAAAATTCCCTTCTTGCCCTGGCTGGTTTGGTTCAGCAGTTAGAGCGTCAGCCTGCAGTCCAGAGAGACCTGGGTTCGGTTCCCGCTAAGGGCACGTACCTCAGTTGCAGTTTGTCCCCGGCCCTGGTTGGGTTGTGCGGGTGGCAACTACTCAATGTGTCTCTTTCATGTCGATGTTTCTCTCTCTCTCTCCCTCCCACTCTATCTGAACAAAATATCAAAAAAAAAAAAAAAAAAAAAAATGTCCTCGGGTGAGGGTAAAAAAAAAAAAAAAAGAAAATTCCCTTCTATTTCTTATTTGCTGAGAGTTTTTATTGTATTGGACACTGGATTTCTGTCAAATGCTTTTTCTGCATCTATTTAGATAGTCATATTTTTTCCTTCATTAGTGTGTTCATGTGGTGAATTACACTGGTTGACTTCTGAATATTAAATCAACCTTGCATTCTTGAATTTACCCCACTTGGTCATGAATTATTTTTATATATTGTTGGATTCAATTTCCTAAAATTGTGTTTAGAATTTTTACATGGATTTTCATGCAAAATGTCACTTTCTAGTTTTTTTTTCCTATCGATACGTTGGCCTGGTTTTGGTATCAGAATAATGCTTGCCCCATAGAAGGAGACAAAAGGTATTCCCTTCTCTAAAACTTTCTGGAAGAGTCTGTAAAATTTGCATTATTTTTTCCTTAAATATAAACAATTCATTGGTGAAGTCATCTAGGCTTTAAATTTTCTAAAAATTAAGTTTCTGTGGCAAAAATAGTGCTATTCATATTTTCTATCTTCTTGAGTAAGCTTTGGTAATTTTTTTTTATTCATGAAATTATCCCTATCATTTAAGTGGTAAAATTTAAAGGCATAAATTTGTTCATAATATTCCTTTATCTCTTTAATATCTATGGAATCAATAATGATGCTACCTCCTTTACTTCTGACGTTAATTTGTGTTTTCTCTCTTTTACTTTTTATCAATCTGGTCAGAGGTTTACCTGGTTGCAAAGAGTCAGCTTTAGATTTCAGTGTTTTGGTTTTTTTTATTATTACTTTTCTGTTTTTATTTGATTGATTTAAGCTCTAATCTTGATTTTATGCTCTATTTCCTTTTCTTTGCTTACTTTGGGGTTAAATTGTTCATTTTTTTATAGTTTTTTAAGGTGGGAGCTGAGATTACTAAATGAAACTTTTGTTTTCTGCTTTAAGTGTTTAGTGCTATAAGTTTCCCCCTAAATACTGCTTTAGCAGCATACCACAATTTCTTAAATGTTCATTTTCATTTAGTTGAAAATACTTTCTAATGCTCCTAAATACCCTCATGGGTAGTTAGAAATGTGATACTTATGTTTCCAAATATCTGGAGATCTTACAGATAACTTTTTGCTATTTACTTTTAATTTAATTTCAATGTATCAGAGAACATACTTCATATTACTTAAATCATTTTATATTAATCAAGCCTTATTTTATGGTCTAGAATATAGTCTAACCTGGTAAATGTTCTGTGTGAACTTGAAAAGAACACACATTCTATTGTTATTAGAGAGTATCGATCAGGTCAATTTAGTTGATAGTGCTGTTTGAATCTTCTACATACTTGCTTATTTTCTGTGTACTTGTTCTCTAATCATAAAAAGAAGTATTAGAAGTCTGACTATAAATATATTTTAGACTTATGTCTCATCATTTTTTGCTTCATCTAAGAAATCTGACCCTTTAGCATGATAAATCACCTTTATTATCCCTGGTCATAGTCTTTGTTCTGAAATATACTTTCATATTAATATAGCCAACGTCAGTATGGCATATAATTTTCCTTTCTTTTATTTTTAACCTGTCTGTGTCTTTATAAGTATAATTTCTTGCCCTGGCTGGTCTGGCTCGGCGGTTAGAGTGTTGGCCCACAGACCATAGAGTCCCGGGTTTGGTTCCCACTAACGGCATATACCTCAGTTGCAGTTTGTCCCTGGCCCCGGTTGGTTGTGTGGGTGGCAGCCAGTCAATGTGTCTCCCTCACATTGACGTTTCTCTCCCTCTCTTCCCTCTTCTCTCCCTCCCACTCTCTATCTGAAGGAAGATAAATGCAAAAATGTCCTTGGGTGAGGATAAAAAAATTAATTAAAAAAATATATATAGCATAATTTCTTACAAGCAGTATACAATTGTATCTTGCTTTTATTTAATGTGACAATCTCAGCCTTTTAATTGGGGCATTTAGACCATTTATAATTAACTTGATTATTGATATGGTTAGATTTAAATCCATATTGCTATTTATTTTCTATCATTTTAGTGATTGCTTTGGGGTTTATAGCATATTTAACTTATCAGTCTATCTTGCAATAATATTACACTACTTCATGTATATGAATCTTACAATATTATACTTAAGATTTCTCTTGGCCTTTAAGCTATTATCATACATTTTACTTATGCAAATTTTAATTACCTTTATAATGCCAATATTATTGTTTATACAATTACTTTTACAGAGATTTAAATAATAAAAAACATGTCTTTACTTTTGTAATTACAATTTCCAGTGACTTTCATTCTTTTGTGTAGATCTGTAATTCCAGCTAGTAACATTTTCCTTCTGCTTGATGGACTTCCTTTAACATTTCTTGTAGTGAGTTTCCTGGTGATAAATTCCTTCAGCTTTTGTAGGTCTGAAAATATTTCTATTTTGTCTTCGCTTTTGAAAGATCTTTTGGCTGAATATAGAATTCTAAGTTGACAGTTTTTTCTTCTGGTACTTTAAAGATGGTACTCAACTTTCTTCTTCCTTGCACTGTTTCTGACAAGAAGATATAATGTCATTCTTATCTTAGTTCCCCTGTATGTAGAGTATCTTTTCTGAGGATGCTTTTAAGGTGTTCTCTTATCACTGGTTTTAAGCATTTAGGATATGCCTCAGTGTAGTTTTCTTTTCCTTCTTTCTTTCTTTTTTTTTTTTTCTGAGTCATTGAAATTCTCAGATGTGTGGACTTATATAGTTCTCAATTTTTGAAAGTTTTTAGCCATTATATCTTCAAATATTTTTCTGTCCCTCATCTCTTCTCTCCTTTAGGCATTCCAGTTACATGGTCTATGAAGTTATCACATGAACTTGAAAGTCATCCTATGACTTACTGATGTTCTTTTCACCTTTTCAAAATTCTTTGTGTCTGTGTTTCATTTTGAATAGTTTCCATTGCTATGTCTTCAAGTTTACCAATCTTTTCTCCTGACATTAATATCACCCAGTGTATTTTTTATTTTGTACATGGTGGTTCAATATGAGCCTTTAAGTATCTTTCATGTCTCTGCTTAACTTTTGAACATAATTGTTTTAATGTTTTTGCCTGCTATTCTAAGACCTACATAGGTTCTGAGTCTGTTTATTGATTATTCTGCTCATTATTGGTTATCTTTTCCAGTCTCTTTACACCCCTACTTTGATCAGATGTCAGACATTATGAATTTTACCTCTTGGGTGCTAGATATAGATTTTTATCATTGACATTATTACAGATGTCCCCCATTTTCCCTATGAATGCTAGATATTTTTGCATTTCCTTCTTGTGCTTTATTTCTAGATGCAGCTGTTACTTGGAAATAGTTTGAACATTTTGAGTCTTGATTTGCCTGGCAGGCTTAAAACAGTGCTTCCTTTAAGGCTAATTATTTACCACTACTGAGCAAGATTTTCCTGAGTGTCCCATCCATGTGAAATGAGATTTTCCAGTCTACTTGGTTGGATAAGGTACCATTCCTTGGCCCAGTGTGAGTGCCAGGCTGTATTCCATTTAAACTTTTCCGATGGTTTTTCCCTTGGTTTTGGGTAGGTTTCTCACATGCATATACTGAACAATAGTACTATGCAGATCTCTGCTATTTGCTTTCTGTGCAGCTCTCTCCTCTCTGGCACTGTGTCCAGCAAAATCTAGCCACTTTGATTGCCCTGGACTCTCAGTTCCATATCCTCAAATTAGGGCGTCTGCTGGACTCAACCTGGGGTCCCCTTCCCAGGCCATGGTCTCAAAACTTTCTTAAGGTAATAAGCTAGGAAATCATAAGGGGTTCAGCTTATTTTTTATCCATCTTCTAGAGAGCACTGTGGTTTGTTGTTTGATTTTCAGTTACTTGAAAACCATTGTTTAATATATTTTGTCTTTTTAAAATTATTTTAGATGGGAGTATGAATTTAGTTAAATGAACAGAAGCCCTGAATTTTTACTTTATTTAGATAGAGCATAGACAAAATTCAAACTCAAAGTATAATGTTGACAGTGTGAGGAAGTAACCGTTGACTACTAAAGGAAAAGAGATGTAAATAACTTCCTAATGTTTTGCTCTGTTTAGCAGTAGTAACTGTCTTTGTTTATCAGCCTTATCATGTACTGATATCATGCACTGTGTGTGGCACTTAATCCTAAATGGGAAGCTCTGAATGACCATTGGTGAGTTCCCTCAAACCCTCCCCTGCCCCCATGGGTCTCTACCAGTATTTTTATGAAAAGAGATTATTGTGGCAGGAGTGCTGAGTACAGAGAAACAAATACTGCTCTACTTTTAAGAACTGTCTGAGGGCTATAGCTATATATCCTATATTATTTAAGAGCAATAGTAAAAATTAGTGATTGTTTTCAGTAACATAGAATATCTTCAAGGAGATGAAGAAAAGGTGTTATATGGAATGAAGTTGAGGAGACTGTCTGCTGTCAAAACTCACAGTGAGTCTTGAGTTGCATTCTTCCCGTAGACGTTTATTCCAGGGCCTTCAGGTGAGAAGCTGAAGGCTCCCACCTTATGTTTTGTTTGTCTAAGGAAGAGAAAATGTCTACTTGCCTCCCACCTACTAAGGATGTTGAGAATCAATTACCTGCTTGAAGCAATGGACAGGCGCTGGGACTGAACATGTTTCTTTTAGGTATTTGTCCCAGGTAAAATGACCTGTAAAGGAAATAGAAATCTCTATCACAGTCAACTTCCTAAAAAATGATTTCAGGATGTAATCTACACTAAACATTAGGCTATTTTCAGACAGATTTGGGACATAAGAAAACTTACTTTTCCCTGTTTAGCCTCAAAGAAATATTAGTATGAAGAATCTAGGTGACCTGAGTGGATCATTTTATATCAACGTTTTTAAATCATGTCTCAAGATGATCTGAGGTGTTTTTCATGTTAGCTCCTGCAGTGATCCAAAATGCCAGAGCAAGATATACCAGTGTCTCAAAGAAGTGCCCAGGAAACTCATGAAAAACAGAATAGGTAGAAAATGAATGAGGAGATCCTTCTGAACAACTTGACTCCTGGAGAGGTCTCTTACTGCAATCAGGTGATAGCATTTAACACCCAGTATTGTTGAATCCCACCTCAGCTCAAAAAAAAAAAAAAAAAAAAAAAAATCTGAAACATAAGGGAAGAGGATTTGAGGGCAGGGAAAGTTGAAATGAATGAGATTATACTTGAATCCTCAGTCTAAAAATGGGTTTCTCTCACCTACCTCTACCCCACTCCTATCCCTGTCAGTGTTGCATTGCTCTGAGGTACAAAATAACAAAGATTTGGTAATTTAGAGAAAAGTAGGTACTGGGTAGCATTTCTGAAGATAGTAACTAAGTATAAGGCCATATATGAAAGACCTACAGACAATATCATACTCAATGGGCAGAAACTAAAAGCATTTCCCTCAAGAACAGAACAAGACAGGGATGCCCACTTTTGCCACTCTTATTTAACATAGTACTGGAAGTCTTAGCCACAGCAATCAGATAGGAAGAAAAAATAAAAGGGTTCCAAACTGGAAAGGAGGAAGTGAAACTGTCATTATTTGCAGATTACATGATATTACGCATAGAAACCCCTAAAGACTCCATCAAAAATCTACTAGATTTAATAAACAAATTTGGCAAGGTAGCAGGATACAAAATTAACATCAAGAAATCAATGGCATTCTTATACACCAATGATGAACTCACAGAAAGAGAAACTTAAAAAAACAATCCCATTTACCATTGCGGCAAAAAAATTAAGATACCTAGGAATAAACTTAACCAAAGAAGTAAAGGACCTATTTGCAGAAAACTACAGAAAAAAGAAAAGGAGGAAGATATAAAAAAGTGAAAGTACATACCTTGTTCATGGATTGGAAGAATTAACATCATTAAAATGTCCATACTATCCAAAGCAATCTATAGATTCGACGCAATCCCCATCAAAATACCAATGGCTTATTTCACAGAACTAGAACAAATACTTCAAAAATTCATATAAAATCAAAAAAGACCCCGAATAGCCACAGCAATCTTGAAAAAGAAGGACCAAGTTGGAGGGATCACATTATCAGATTTCAGGTTATACTACAAAGCCACTGTAATCAAAACAGGCATGCAGATTAATTGAACAGAACAGAGAACCCAGAAATTGACCCAAGATATTATGCTCAATTAATATTTGACAAAGGTGGCAAGAGGATACAATGGAGTAAAGACAGCCTTTTCAATAAATGGTGTTGGGAAAATTGGACAGCTACATGCAAAAAAATAAAATTAGACCACCAACATATACCATACACAAGAATAAACTCAAAATAGATAAAAGACTTAAATGTGACTCGTGAATCCATACAAATCCTAGAAGAAAATGTAGGCAACAAAATTTCAGACATCATACGTAGCAGAATTTTCACTGATACAATGCCTAAGGCAAGAGAAACAAAGGAAAAAAGAACACATGGAACTACATCAAACTAAAAAACTTCTGCACAGCAAAAGAAACAACCATTAAAATAGAAAGGGAACCCACTATATGGGAGAGCATAATCGCCAATGATACATCAGATAAGGGGTTAATTTCCAAAATATATAGAGTGCTCATACAACTCAACAAAAGGAAGACAAGGAACCCAATTAAAAAATGGGCAGAGAACCTAAATAGACATCTCTCCAAAAAGGACATACAAATGGCCAAGAGACATATGAAAAAATGCTCAATGCCACTAATCATCAGAGAGATGCAAATTAAAACAACTATGAGGTATCACCTCACACCAGCCTGAATGGGTGCCATCAACAAATCATCAAAAAACAAATGCTGGTGAGGGGTGGAGAAAAAGGGGACTCTAGTATACTGCTGGTGGGAATACAGACTGGTGCAGCCACTATGGAAAACATTATGGTGTTTCCTAAAAAAATTAAAAATTGATCTGCCATTTGACCCAGTGATCCCACTTCTAGGAATATATCCCAAGCCTGAAACACCAATCAGAAAGACTATATGTACCCCTATGTTCATAGCAGCACTATTTACAATAGCTAAGATCTGGAAACAGCCCAAGAGTCCATCAGTAGATGAATGGATAAAAAAGCAGTGGTACATATACACAACGAAATACTATGCAGCTGTAAGAAAGAAAGATCTCTTATACTTTGAGATGACATGGAGGGACCTGGAGAGTATTATGCTAAGTGAAATAAGCCAATCAGAGAAAGACAAATACCACATGATCTCACTTATTTGTGGAATATAATGAACAAAATAAGATGATCAACAAAATAGACACAGAGACATAGAAAGGAGTATGATTCAGACTGACAGACCCCAGATGAGTGGGGCGGGGCGCGGGGGGATGGGTGAGATAAATCAAAGAACTTATAGGTATGGATGCGTAACCAATGGGCATAGACAACAATGCTGGGGGCAGGGGAGGATGTCTAGGGGGGGAAAAAGAAACATCTACAACAAAAATAAATTTAAAAAAAAAAAGTGACACTATCCTGGGGTCAGGAAAAAACATTTTAAGGGACAGGATGAATACGTATCTTATTGGATCACAAAAGACTACCAACTTCTTTATTAAAGGTTAAACCAGTTATCAATCTCCCCCTAATACCCACCTAGAGGAGACCCCATGATGGAACAGGGAAGGTCTCAGAGACTCTCATAAGCTAAAACACTGTAGCAAACCAGCATTTCTTGAAGTTTCCTCTGCAGTGGAGCAGCACATGGCCCCTTTGGGTCATGCAAAAAGCACTAGATGCTGGGAATAAAAATGAGTCACTGAATGATGATATATCTAAGTCACTTCAAAAATGATACTAAGGTCCTGGCCGGTTTGGCTCAGCGGTTAAGAGCGTCGGCCTGCGGTCCAGAGAGACCCGGGTTCGGTTTCCGCTAAGGGCATGTACCTCGGTTGCAGTTTGTCCCCAGCCCTGGTCGGTCATGCGGGTGGCAGCCACTCGATGTGTTCCTTTCACGTCGATGTTTCTCTCTCTCTCTGTTCCTCTCTCTCTCTCCCACTCTACCTGAACAAAAAATGGAAAAATGTCCTCGGGTGAGGATAAAAAAAAAATGATACTAAGACTATATATTCTATTGACTTTATAGCTTGTTTTAAAAACCAGTCCCTTTCCTACCACCATCAACCAAGCCAAATAGATTTGGCCAGAAATCATGGTCAGTTCTAAGCCATTTCATGAACTGGCCAATGATTAATTACCATGAAGAGCTAGTTAGGCCATAGGGTAAATGAGACAGATATTTCCTGGAGTCAAGATTTAAAGAGCTTATTAGAATTTAATAGAGTTTGATCTTAGTTGAGATGGCCCTCTCACAAGGACTGAATGAATACATTTCATTACTATTTGCTGTTAGAAAAAGGAAACATTACAAATTATTATTCCATTCTTATAAAGGATTAAGTCAAATAATAAGTCTTGGGTAGCCAGCCACCTTAACTATTGAACACTTAAAATGTGGCTAGTGTGAATGAGGACTTAAATTTTAAATTTTATTTAATTTTAATTAATTTAAATTTATTTTTTCTTTTTTTCTTTAAAATGTATCTTTATTATTGAATGTTTTACAGATGTCCCCTATTTTTCCCCCAATGACCCCTTCCCTCCCCACTCCTGCCCCCCTCCTGCCTTCCCCACACTATTGTCTGTGTCCATTGGTTATGCATATATGCATATAAGTTCTTTGGTTTATCTCTTCCTGCCCTCCCTTTCCCCTTCCCTTTGAGGTTCATCAGTCTAACAACCAATTTTTACTTAATTCCTTTACCTTTTGCACCCATTCCCCAAGCCCCCTCCCATCTGGCAAGCAACAAAAAGTTCTTTGTATCTATGAGTCTGTTTCTGTTCTGCTTGCTAATTTTGTTTGTAGATTCAGTTGTTGATAAATATGTACTTATTGCCATTTTATTGTTCATACTTTTGTTCTTCCTTTTCTTTAAGACGACCTGTCAACCTATAATATTGGTTTGGTGGTGATGAACTCCTTTAGCTTTTTCTTGTCTGGGAAACTCTCTATATGTCCATCGATTCTAAATGATAGCTTTACAGGATAGACTAATCTTGGTTGTAGGTTGTTGCTTTTCATTACTTTGAATATCTCTTGCCATTACTTTCTGGCCTCAAAGTTTCTTTTGAGAAATCAGCTGACAGTCTTATGGGAGCTCCCTTTGTAGGTAATTAACTGCTTTTCTCTTGGTGCTTTTAAGATTCTCTTTGTCTTTAACCTTTGGCATTTTGATGATGATGTGTCTTGGTGTGGACCTCTCTGGGTTCATCTTCTTTGGGACTCTCTATGCTTCCTGGACTTGCATGTCTGTTTCCTTCACCAAGTTAGGGAAGTTTTCTGTCATTATTTTTTCAAATAGGTTTTCAATTTCTTTCTTTCTTTCTTCTCCTTCTGGCACCCTCATGATGAGAATGTTGGTACGCTTGAAGCTGTCCCAGAGGCTCCTTACACTATCCTCATATTTTGGATTCTTTGTTCTGATTGGATGTTTTTTGCTTCCTTATATTTCAAATCGATGGTCTACTTCTTAGTTTCACCTACTCTACTATTGATTTCCTGTAAATTATTCTTTATTTCAGTTAGTGCATCCTTTGTTTCTGACTGGTCCTTTTTTATGTTCTTGAGGTCCTCACTAAGTTCCTTGA